AGAGAGAGAGAGAGAGAGAGAGAGAGAGAGAGAGAGAGAGAGAGAGAGAGGTGTGGCCTTGTTCTTGCTACTTGGTGGGGATGATTTTTCAGGAAAACGCAGCCTTGTGGGGACCTTAGGTGAAGGAGTTCAGGGAGTCTTGTTCATGAGTTATGGCAGGAGATGAATCAACTTATAATCATCCACAATAATGAGATCCATACATTCTAACCCTCACCCACAGTCAGATGACAACATGAATGGATGGAAAAAGAGTCAAATCAACCAACATAAACTTAACTCCTTTTTGAATTAAAATGTATTTTTTCAGAACAGCTGATCAACAGTAAATCGGTCAAAGCTAGTAGAAGATATACTCATAAGGTTCTGCAGTTTGATCATCTMCTCTTGCCCAATTTGTTGTGATCCTTTAGCTGATTCTGAATGATGTATTTCTTTTTCTCACTCTGACAAAATGGTTTTGTTTAATTTTTATAAATGGCCAGTTTTAGCTGTGATATGACCCAGTGGCTGTGTGAAGTGAGCTTAAGTTTCAAAATAACATTGACTTATTTAATTAGATTGAGATTAAACCAATGTTGGTTGTTCTATGAAGAAGTAATTTTAAAAAAAGGAAAAGGAAAACCCAGAATATGGAAACACATGACTGATGATGGTTTTAAACAAGGTCATAGGTGGTTTCCTCTGAACGTCTCAGGTCAGCTGGAGAAACCCCGATGATGCAGACAGAATAATAATCAATTCATAAGTGCCTCTCCCTAAACTGCTTTGACAGCCTTACCCCAGCATGTAGAGAAAGGACTGGTGGCAGTGTGCTTGCTCTTTTAGGAAGAAATAAAAATATAATGAAGAGTGTCACGCAACATTAACACTGATTAGTTAATTCATTTTCAGATCACTTCCCTATAAAAACACTGGAAAACTAATTCCCCAGTCTCATATTTTCTRATGAATAATAGTTCAGAACTGCAGCTCAATCTCTCTGTAAGTCAATGTCTCATTTGTTAAATGTTAAGAAGAGTTATGTTTTTAGAACATATTTTACTTTTTAAACTGATGCTTAAGAGGCCAGGTGTTCGAGAAAAAGTTATTTTTATCTTTCTTTCAGTCAATACTTTTCCACAGTCAGCCTGCCACATCCATCTACACCTGTTCTCTGTTTGATGAGTCACAGCTGCAGCCACTCTACTCATTAACCCCTGTCCTCATATTCTCTCAGCCTTCATTCAATCAGAATTCTGTCTTTGCTCGTGCTCATGTTCAGTTTACCTTTAGTTTCCTTTGTGCTCTGTGACTTCCTGCACATTATTTGCTGTGACAACCACCTGTTTATTTTTTGCTTAATCACRTTTTAAGTTTGCTTGAGCTTCTCATGTGTGCAGTTTACACTCCTGGGTCCAACATCAGCTAAACCATGACATCACAGGGTTTAACCTTGTTTTTGTGTTATTTGGGMAGTTTGTGCCATGTTTCTGCACATGGACTACAAAAAAATCTGTCACCATTTAGCTAGCTGTAAATATAATAGCATATAGTGTTGACGCAATGGTCAAGAGATGCATAAGCTTAAATTTGGTTGTGGGTAATTTTAGGATTGATTCACACAGTCAAGCTTTTACTTTGGCTATTTTGCGTACAGGCGGTGTGAGTTTGCATATTAGCTAAATATTTAGTTTTATTTAGTCAACCTTTTAGATTTAACATTTAGAATTAACTATTTAAATGTGCTAAAAGGAGACTTTAGAAAAATCCACACTACTTTTTCAAACCTTTGAAGCTAAATGTGACAGACTTTCGCTATTCATTTTAACACAAGCCGCTTTTTACAAACAGCACTGCATAAAATAAAAGGAATCACAAATGTTTATCTGGTTCTACAGGATTTGTGTCAACATCTAGGTTTCTGTTGAGCATGAGTGACAGAGTTGTCTTGAATTAATCTAGTCTGAGTTCATAAAAAAACAACTTTTGGTGTGAGACATTTTTCACAAACTTTCACTCCACTTGTCAGGAGTGAGAACAGGGAGTAGTGTTTGACGCGACAATATTTTCCATTTGTTACAGAAATGTTGTGAAGCCAAAGAGGACATAAATCCATATAACTTAAAAGAGGAATGTCAAGATTATATATAGTTTTAAGCAAGTTTTCCTGATCATGACTGTAGACAGATAGAATCCAGTCCTGCTGTAGGAAATATTCTATATATGTTTTTCTGATATTTAATTCTGTCTCGTACATCTCTTTGCAGTTACATTCAGTGGTGCCTTTGAGATCAACTCATTTTTAATCGAGCCAAACTATTCCTATCCAAGGCTCACAAATTGGCACTACACATAATAAAACACCTGAAGCSTTCAAAACAATTAGACGTTTTGTGCTTGCAATAATAGTCAGTTGTGAATCTATAAACCACCCATTCTGTGRAAATTTCTTATTGGATGCCAAAATAAATGAGTAATTTCTCAGTGGTTTAATAAATAGAGCCCTAATCCACTTACAGCGCACACAGCTTATGAAAGGTTGTAAAGCAAAGTGACAGACATGACACCGATACAACAGGCTTATTCAAAAYCCTTAGATGCATGTTTCTGAGGTTTATATGAAAAGCCCAAGCTCTCCAACCCTCCAAAGCCTATCGGAGGCATACAGATTGAGCCCATGGACCACTGGTTGATGTAAGCAAACAGAACTGGAGGGTTTGAAAAAGGAGTCCGCTCAAATCATCCTTGTCATTTTGAATGATGGAATTATTTTGCCAAATGTCACGATATGGCTTTACCCAAGAGGATATCAGCTAAGTGGCTGCTACAGCGCAGATATTTTTCTGTAAATAATCTCCGCTTTGATGATTTCAAAGAAAAAACAGAGATAAGATTAGAGAGGACAGGAGRCGCTTGAGAAATAAATCGCACAGCAGCAGAAAATGTGGGCCCAAATTTGCAGGGACGTGTCGTACATTCAGAATATGTAAGCAGGAGGTGTTGTGGCTGTTTAATGACTGCACTTGATATCATGACCTGCAGCCAAATGAGTTTTAAA